CAGGAGACAGAGCTGGGAAGCCCTGGCCAAGCAGGGAAACCCAGGAAGCCACCTCAGGCAGTGGAGGGGAGGAGCCCAGGGGGGAGAGGCAGGCGGGGGTCAGCTTTCCCCCTGGGCTGGGAGGAGGGAGACGGGCCTAGGCAAGACCACACCCAAGACATGACTCCAGCCAGACACAGCCCGGCCCACCCTCAGACACTCCCACAAACGCAGACACCCATGTCCTCAGAAATCACACACACACACTCAGAGACCAGCCCTCTGGGGACAACCAGGGTAGTGCAGATCAGGCTGAGGGTGACCTTGGTGGCAGCAACTTCCCCACCGTCAGCTGCTGCAGCACAACTGTTGGCTCTGTGACCCAGCCCAGGGCAGGGTCTGGCTCCTGACCGGCAGAGCCTCTCTCCAGGCCCATGGGGCTCCTAAGCGCCTTCGCTGAGTGATTTCTCCACAGCCCGCAAGGACTAACATGCCCCCTCCCTTCCTCGGAAGACAGCAGAAGAGCTCCCAAAGTGCAGTCCCAGAAGTAAAGTTCAGGAGGGAGGTCAGCAAGGAAGGCACTGTGGCCCCATTTTACAGATGAGGAAACTGAGGATCAGTATGGAGCAGCAGCTCATCCACGGTCACCTCCCAGAGTAGAAGTCAAGTTGGGCAGAGAACCTGACTCCTGGTGTCCAGGCTCACAGTGCACACCATAGTCCACACCACTTTGCTCTCTCTTTGGCCCTTTGGGCCTTGCCCAGCTACCCGATATGGCCACTTCCCAGGGTAGGGCAGGCAAGAGAGAGAGCCAGGGGAACCCCTGTCCTCTCCTTTAGGCACAAACAAGCCAGGAAGGCTCAGCAGTGATCCAGAAATGGGGCATGAATCGGGTGGAGGGTGGCACCAGCTGCCACACTGGCCTCCACCTTCCTGCCTCCTGCCCATCAAGAGGAAACTTCTGACCTGACCTCAAATCAAATCCTTTTTCCAAACAGAAGACAAAGGAAGGAGGAAGCCCTTGCTGGGAACCTAGAGTTGGATTCTAGTCCAGCTCTGCCTCTGCCTCCTGTGTAACCCCAGGTGGTCACTTGCCATCTCTGAGCCAGGTGTCCTCACCTAAATGGGTGATGGTTGGGCCAGATGGTCCCTAAGGCCTGGACTCTGGAGCCAGGGCAGCTCCAGGATCGTCCTCTGGAATGTCCAGTTGAAGTGGGCATCACAGGACGACCAGTCTGGTCACCGCTCCCCTGCACCCCTGCAGGGCCCACAACTGCCACCCCAACGCTGTCTCCACTCCGCCATGGCAGCCTGGCTCAGGGGCTCTAAACGCATCTGCTTGAGGCTCAGCCCCAAAACATCCTGCTTGATTGAGATCTGCCAAACTCCCTCCAGACACAACCCCAGCCCCCACGCCCACGGTTCTTTTCTAAGACAGTTGGTCCAGCCCCTCCCCGGTTCCCACCCCACCCCACCCCACCTGAGTTCCTCAACAATATTTCTCGAATACCTAACATGGCCAGGCACTGTTACTGGGGCTGGGAATACATTGGTGAACAAGGGGGCAGAGATCCCTTCCCTGCCAGAGCTTCTGTCCTAGAGAGCTGGTCATAACTGGCCCCAAGGGTCAGGCCAAGGCACAAGGCAGTGAGGCCACAGCTCTCCCCACTCTGGACAACGCACTACCCTTCAGCTGTTCGTTCCTCAATGGCAGGGACTATAACTTCATTGTCCTTGACTCCCCAACACCGGTCCTGACACACAGAGACCTCACTGAATGGGTGAGTGGAAGGACAGATGATAAGTGAAAGATAAATGAGTGGAAGGAAGAATGGCTTGTCCAACCGATGACAGGTGAATGGATGGATAATGGACAGAGGATGGAACGATGGGTGGATGGATGGACAATGAGTAGTTGGGTGGGTAGACAGGTGGACGGAACCAATAAGCAGACAGACCAACACAACCTTGAACTATAGGTGCTGTTGGGAGGTTGTATCCTGCAGGTGACTCCCACTGTGCTGTCAGGTACCCAAAGCCCTCACCTCCCCTACGCCCCATCCCCTCCCCAATCTTGCACAAGAAGCTGAGGAGCAGTCCTTTGTCCCTGCTCTACCTGCCCACCTTCTCAGGCTCCTACCAGAGCCCACAGGAGACCAAAGATGGTACAGAGATTCGGATCGCAAGAGCATCTATCCACTCCAGGCCCAAGGGAAGGGAGGAAATGTTTCATCATCTCCCCGGCGCAGTGTCCTCACTCAGGCTGAGAGGCTACCAGGCTGCTTACTCATCAACCCACCCACCCCTTCTCTCATTTCCCTGCCTGCTCCTTCATTGACTCAGCTACTTACTCGAAAACTACTAACACGCTCTGTGTAGGAAACGCACGGGGCAGGGAGGGAAGAGCTGACCCTTCCAGGGACCCCATCCCCAGAGATCTCAACCAGAGCTAAGACATTGTCCCAGTAGCCACGTCAACCTCTTCAGGGACGGGTTGGGCTGTGTGAGCTCAGGGGAAGGGACGGTCCTTCAGTTGAGGACAGGGACTGGGGACGGTGCTGTGCCCTGTGGGAGTGGGATGGGCCTGCGGTTTGGGAAGGGCCCTGCAGGCAGAGAGAGCAGCAGGAGAAAGCCTCCTCGGGAGGAAGGTGAGGGCTGGGTCTGGGGAAGGAAGTGCTTGGAGGCCGGAGCACAGGGTGTGAGAAGGACAGTGATGAGGGCCGGGCTGGGGGAGACCCGACTGCTGGGCAAGGACCTAACTCCTAGGACAGAGCAGCTGCTGGACCGTGAGGGCCTGTCCTGTGACAGCTCTGCCTGCCGCTGGCACACTGCATCCCACTCACCATCACACGCACGTGGCCGGGACTTAGCCACGTGACATCCCAGCTCCTGACCTGTGCAGATGCTATTTTTTATTCTTACTTTTGGCCCAGACCAAAGGCCACCACCTGGGTGTTGTTGACTCAGGTGAGCAGACAGAGCTACACCATTTCACCATTTCTGTCCCTTTGAAGTCAAAGAACCATCCCTGAGCAGCCCCAGGGCTGGGAAGGAGCCTGCTTGGCCACCTGCTTTGTTCCAAGAAATGCCCAAGTGCTGTGAGCTGTGCAAGGCTCCTCAGCCTCCACAGCCTCCATCGGCCTGTGTCTCCCACCCTGGGCATCACTGTGCCAGGGCACGGTAAGGAGCATGATGGCAGCTACTCACAGGGAATGGCATGATGGCTCAGGAAAGGCAGCCAGGTGCAAACACCTCTACCCTGCAGACTTCCCGGGGCTTTCTGTTCCACCACTAGTATGTATTTCGTGGGGGTAAGCATTGCCCTCTTTCTCTATGTTTAATTTATTCTTTCCTTTTGTTTTCCTCTCTGGGCCCAAGTTCTCTACTCAGTTTCTGAGGGAGATGCCTAAACCTTCACAAGAGAGCCCTGGGAGAAACTTCGGGGAGGAAGAGAGGCCACCAATTCAGAGGACAAAGGCCACGCCTCACCCCCTGGCCCTTGGCTTTGCAGAGTGGATCCAAGTTCGTGACTGGGGCCGGGCTCAGACAGGACAGAGAGACTGGTCCTGCTGAGGGAGAACCTGGCGTTTTCCTGAACTCTGTCCTCAATCCTTCCCCGAGGGCCAGACTTCCCCTGGAGAAGTGAGAGGGGACAGGAAGGGAGAAGAGAGCCGGGAAGGTGGGCCTTGCCTGCTTAGCTCAGAGACGTCTCTGCCCATGTCTAGGTCCCCTGACCATAAGAAGGGGGTGTCTTTGGCTCCTTCTACCTTCCCTCCCATGATGCCTCTCTATGCTTCCCCCTCCTCCCCATCCCTGACACCAGACTCAGACCTCCCCACCTGTCACCTGGGCTTCCCCACAGCTTCCTCATGGTCTCCCTGCCCCCAGCCCCCTCCAGTCCATCACCCACACGGCTCACCCAGAGTAATCTCTCCAGGATGCAAATCTCGCCATGCCCTCCCTCCCTCACAAAATCCCTCTGTGGCTCCCTACTGCCCTCACA